TCAATTAAGCTAATTTAGGTCTCTAATTGCTAGTTTTTATGATTGTATCTGAAATTGTTAGGCGAAAATAGCCTGCATGCCGAATTTCAGATCTCTAGAGCAATCAGAAGTGGGCTAATTTTCGTTTTCAATGTTAACAACAAACAAACAAACGCGAATCTGAGGAAAGAAAAACGTATTAAAAATGGAAGCTACTTGCGCACTGGATTGCATTTAAATTTTAATTGTTGATATTTTTCTGACAGCTTTTATGCCACGTTTTTACCACATAGGGTAACATGGGGCAACGAGCCCACTGCGGGTCATTGGCCCATAGCGAGTTTCTCGCTAAGTATGGCATATATTGGGCCGTGTTCTCTACCGCCAGTCGACAGTTTCACTGGGATGAAGTGTACGGATTTACGTTTTGCTAAGTGTTTGCGTTATTAAGTTATTTGTGAATAACTGTTTTAGNAACTTCATCAAAAAATTTGTTTAAATAAAGGGGGGGGGGCGCTGCCCCATGTTGCCCTACTGACATGTACCACGTGCTAGTGGGCGTAATAAGCACATTTTACACTAGAGAGGGACCGAGAAAGTGAAAGCTGGCTTATTTTATAAATATAAGAATTGTTCAAATAAAAACATACGTATGATTATGTACAATGGAAATGCTGAAACAACTGACATTGGTCCCATTCAAATAAAGCAAAGCAACGCTTCCTAGAGGAAGAATTGTGAGGAAGTGAGACCTGGGTTACCTGAACCCAATGATTTACAGTTTACACTTCATTTATTGTAGAAAATGTACTACAACAAAACTGTCTTTGTGGTATGTGAGCGTTGTCACAGTGTCAACAGCGTTGCAGCGCACAGCGGCGTGTCGCAAGAAAGCTTTTTCAGCCCAGCCTTCAAGATTTATTCGTCAGTGACCAAGTGTCCAGCCTGCTTTCCGTAGACTCTGACAATACATAAGTTTATCATTCAGTAATCCTGCTAGTTTGGTTTATTGAGTATCGAGTGTACAAATGCGAGCCACGAAGACAGTTCAGGACTTAAAGACCGTAAGATCAAGTCATACGAGGAAAGAATGTATATTATAAATCACTCAAGTCTGTCGCATCGATCGGTGTATCCGCGATGAGCTTATAAATTACATATACACTAACTATTCAACTCATGTTATAAAATAATAAATTTCAGAAAAACTACTGATATTTGGAGAAAAAAAACAGACCACGGTTTAACCAGAGGACACGGTTAAAACAGAGACACACTTGCTTTGCTGTGTACACTTGAGACGAGTTTGTTGCACACTGCCATCATCACAGAGATGTGTGTTGCACACTAGGACAGGCTAATCGTTATTACATCTTAAAAATTTAGCTAAGCTTGAACTAGCCTACATTAATCTAACCTAATCTTTTGACAGTTTAGTTATAATAAAGAACTTAGCCACCAGCAGCAGCCGACGAACAGATCCAACCTAGCCATTAAGAAAGATTTCATTTCACGTTCAAAAAGTCCCGTATTTTTTAGGATTTAAATCATAGTCCTCTTTATAAAGTTCAATATAATGTAACCCAGAGCTGCTGCCCAGCGTCAGCCACTCCCCTGAATAATATTCAGCTCGGGGGCAGCGGGGGGAGCTCGTCCTGACAGCGCCGTTGTTGTCCCGGCCATCGTCTCGCGTGAAGCAATTTGGTGCGCGATGAAAAGATTATTAATAAGCAAGTTATTGAGATGCTGGGACAATTTGTCCAGCTAGTCATATCACCGCTCCAAGGAGAAAGAAATAAGCCCACCATTACTTGTTGATGGTTGCGTGAGTTGCCAATAACCTCCCCTCGACGTCCAGAATGTGGCCCAATAATTATACTAATTGCACACTATATTGAATTCGTATTATTAACATAACATTTACTATGATGAATTTAGGGCCGTGATTTGTGATATTATAAAGTGGGTCCAAATTTCAGGTGTTTGGCATAAGGACACAATCAAGCTAGTATTGATCGTTCAGTATTGAAACTAAATCTATTCGAATGCTTAACTCAGCGTATTCCCGCATCTTGAGGCGCATATGCCAACAAATTATTAAAATGCGCGTCAGAACAGCGCAGTTCGCCTCCTCGCGCTATTCTCTTTCAATCTTCGCCTTTCAGTCATCATGACATGTAATGCCTCAAAAATGATTAATTCTATAAAATTTTGAATGAGTAACTAAAATCACACGTTACTAGGGCTAGAAACTTGATCCGTAACTACTGAACACATTCGAGTTAGTGATTGTAGCCTCGACAGAGTTATTTTTGCCTAAAATCTCCCAAACTTCGTGGCTGTCAGCTAGATCCTGTATCATGACTACGCAGAACAGACATAAAGAATCATTACGTATATGGATATCATTGGTGCAGACCTTAATCTATTGGGAATCAGTGTGTAACAGGGATCAAAACTATTAATAGAGAAAATGATTTTTAGTATTACTACTAAATACTGCTACTAAATATGAGTCTAAGGATGAAACCACAACAAAAAAAAAGGAGTGTAAGGTAGAAGGAAGGCTCACCAAAAAGGACAGGCAGGACACTAAGAGGT